AAAACAATTCTACATAAAAACATTCGAATAATTCATAGTAGGAAAAGTCCAGTAATATCTGCATTAAATTGGCATAGTAGAATGATGTTCAAAATGTTAACAACTAGGTTATGGCTTAAAAACCTTATTATGACTTATTTGTTGGTAGTATTTTAGTGGCCCGAGATCCGATTCCAATTAAATCGTATGAATGAATGTTATTGAAATATACACGTCACCAATCCTCGTATGTAATCACCGACTTGACTCTCGTTAGTGTATAACGGAATTAAATAAGCCAAATACGAGAATGGATTTCGAATACGTATATTTCATATAATCGTTGGTCCAGGCAAACGATCGGGGACACGAAGCGAAGATAAAGACGAGAAGTGAGAGAAATGAAGCGCAATAGAGAAGGCATGTAAGCCAACTTGACTTATTCAAGAGTTAATCGATATTTATAGCCGAACAAGCATAAGTAACAGTCATGTGATGGATAAAATATGAAGTGCACACACATACACTCATACAAAAACAGTCAAGGTTGTTAAGCCAATAATTAACATGGTCGGATTGTGACTCAAGTAGAATGAATAGATTGGCCTGTACGGAATCTAGAATAAGCTATGTGGGCTTGCCTAACACTGCAGTATCTCACATCTTCAGAAACAAGTAATAACAGCTGAAACTGAACCATGTTTCCGTCCAAACAAATAAGCTGTGGATGAGGGGAGAAATTCGAGATATGTAGAACGCTCAATGGAATTTAGGTATAAAAAACTGATTAAACTTAAATAGGATAAGAGACGTGTTTTGAATATCGAAACTAACCATTACCATACTAAACAATTGAATTTTATTCCGATTGCTTTAGAAATTCAACAAACATGCTTCCTTAATCTATGTATTTAGCGAAAGTAATTTTAAAATTTATTTCAGTCTGTCAGAACCTTTTTAATGTCATGAATTTTTAAATGGTTCGGTATAGTTGCAAACACTGATAGATAATTCACACATAAACTAAAATTAATAAATAACCATACAAAATGTTCACTTTATTGTGACACTAAATCCAACTGAAGTGAATTAAATTACCTGTAATGAGAAATGATCATATGTTAGATAAAGCTGAAGAAGGTAAACATTATTGAAGTCATGTTACTTTTTGATCGCCGAATGTTGGAATATAAATAATTTATAGAGTAATCATTGACTTATGCCATGTTTAACGCATTCAGTCAAATTATATCAATTGAGTACAAATAAATGCGTGACATATGTGTTAGCCGACTTTTAATCTCTATGATTACTATTTTTCGAAACTTTTGTTTTTCATTTCAATGGTTAATATGTCTTTTCTTAACAATTCACATGTTTCAACATTATATTTCAGAGATGAATCGTATGTCAATGTTCATTGTCAACTAGTATCATAAAATCACTAAACTAATAAAAATGAGATATGCCGTCAGAATGCTCCACTTTTTCGAATAAACAATTAACACTAGGTTACTCAATTTGTTAAGACAATTAATCTCACAAATGAATGATAAATATTTCTTATTATGAAATGACTAGTATACTGCAATTATTGTGATATAACCACTCACATGAATGACATAACATCTCAGTAAACTATCTTTCATGAAGATTTATTAAAAATAATCGTCTCTATGCTTCATATCTAAATACCTTGGTTTCTGGAATCGATTGGTAAAGAAAATATTCGCTGTTACGTTTCATATAATTACATCCAGTAACTTGAGAGTAATTTTATCCAGTTTAATTATTGCAGATTATGAGAACATGTTACTTACATAAATGTATAGATTAATAATTCTACCTCGATGAATATTTTCAACTACAAACTGGTTTTTGTTGCTGATCTAAAATCAAACCATGTTTAAAAAAATAATTACATAAGGTTGTGATGAATTTGATACTGGTAAAAGGTATGAATCAAAACGGTTAAAACTTAATTATTGATAATTACTCAATAAATCAAAAAGGTCAACAAGAGTTATAGGAATGTTCAATCAGGTGTTTAATAAGATTATTAAACAATTATTTCCCATTTCATTATTAACAGTATACATTAATACACAACAGATTTCATGAGATGCCAATATAATCTAGATGAATATCAATATCGGTTATTTAAAATCAAGTAGTTTCACCGCTTGAATGCATTTAATTGAATTTTTCCCAGTCTAGTCCTTTCACATGTGTTATGAATAGAACCAATAAGTATCCATCTGTGTAACCATTTAAAACTTTATTTATTTATTTATTTAAACACATAAATATTGGTACAGGGGGCCACCAAATATATATGCGCCACACAATTTAAAACTTACTGCATATAATTTCATCAACTTAATTAGCAATGTTAGTGATTACAATAGTTTAACTTCATATTAATTAGCTGAGTAATATCAGCATTTTAGTTGACAAGGAAAACCACAATTAATGAGACAAATTTCAATACAAGTAATCACATTACATTAAAAAAAAAACTATAATAAACGATGACATTCAGTAAGTTAAAAATGATAACTTATGACTGAAAAATCTTCGAATTTCTAAACGAGGAATTTCAGTCGACAACTTAACATAAGCACAAAGTTGACTTGCTGAAGTTCTCATAGCTATAATAATATTTCTTTTAATTTAAATGTTTCAAACAGAGATTTACAATCCATTCACAAATAAATAGTGATAAAATAAGATTGATTTTACCCTGAAATTAAAGAAATTATCTTATTATGATATCTTATAAAGGAAGGTGATTAAACATTAGACAATTCTAGTCTGGTGGTTGCGACATAAAATAAGGGTAAAAATGTTTCCCAATTAAACTTATCACACCCATATAATATCTAATTACTGTTATCTGACCTGTAAATTAACAACTATATTTTCATGTTTATTAGGGTAGACGTTTAGATTTGTCTTCAAATAGACTAATCAACACCTTTTCAAAAGATCTACAGGTTTGATTCGAATCAGATTATGAAACAGGGTTTCCCTAATTTCGTCTATAAAACAACACAGAGATCCTGTTTTTTTTTAATAAACATGTTACTTTTTATAATTCGCCTCACTCCATGAAAATCACGAGAAGGAAATTTGGCTAATAGAAGTTTTTATCTAAAATGTCAACATGTTTGGTTGTCTATAAGAAAGGTTAATCTAGCGGTGAAGACCATGATACTAGACTGTCACACGTGTCTTGTTGATTATTCAACAAAATTGTCTGTATGTTCCATCCCGTTACATAACACATGAGGTCTTTAAAATTTGAGTAAATGAATTGACGCATTTATCAATAATTATTTTGATATTTTATATTAATTAAGATACGGATGGTCAATTAGTTTTTTATCACAAAATAAATAATAGATAAGGTTTAAATTACTTGAAAACAAATATCCTTTTCAAAATTGATCAATTTTGATAAGTGAATTCCAATGTACATATAATCTACAATCTTAACTGAAATCAAATTGGGATGCAAATTAAATCTTACTCTTTCAACTAGTTTTCATTACCAGACTGTCTTAATTTCATCCATGTGTCATAACCAGTTAATATCAATAGTTTTCTTTATTAAATACATAGTGTTTAACTAACTGTTTTTCTAATTTTGCGTTTCAGATATTCTCTAACACAAGTTATATATAACCAGTCGAAGACCAGACTTTACAACGTAAAATAGGTTATTCGGTTGGAAGAATTATTGTCAAAATTTACGAAGAATTATTGCAAAAATGCATTTAATTACTTTGATCATTAAGGGTTGGAATACGAATATAAGAAATTTCTGTTATTTTCATTTTGACGAGTACAGAATATTGTGTTCATCTATGATCCATAGAAACATGAAAATATGCATAATCAGTTTATGTAATACAGATTCTGAAAGTTAATCCAAAGTGTAATAAAATTTAGAAAAATAGCACTTTGGCAAAACAATGTTAATCCGCTAATTGTATTTATAAATTTACGTGTACCTGCCAAAGCAACTACATTGGCCGAACAGAAAAGAGAGCATATCTAAGGTATTTTGAGCATGTTCCAAAAAGCCTTAGTACAAGAAAAAGTACAACTGTAAACAATGAAATTTTCAAACATCTCTTTGATAAAGGACAGGTCGATAACATGCAAGATTTCGAGGTGTTTAGTAAACAGTCAAACTCCAATTTGCCGAAGCCGTTGCTATCATGAGTCAATAACCTGATTTTTATGTTCAAAAGAATATGGTTACTACTCTTTTCTTGCCTTGGTGACAAACATCCTTTCGTTGCATCCTAAACTGTTTCTTGCATTTATTACATCATTGGGTTTTCATTTCAATTATCTTCCAGATTAGTAATCTCATTTTATTAACTGAGCTTTACTCATTTTATTCCTATCAGCGTTCACTCATTATGTAATCACTTGTTTCTGGCTGTTTGAACTACTGTCCAATTAAACGTTGTAGAATTTTCTTTTTCATAAGGTATATATTTACAATATTCAGTTGATTAAATTTATTTACACCCTTGTTAAACTAATTTCTTCAACATAACTTCCAACTAAGCACTTTTGTGTAAGTAATTTAAACCCATTTCATAATTATGATTCTTAAGTACTACAGGTTGTTAGCAGATGACTATTGTCATGAAAAAAGACAAAATGTAAATACAAATAATCATTTTATTCAAAAAATTTTCGTATGTACAGAAACAAGGAAAGTATTATTAAAAATGTATAAATTATCTTATATGAAAAATAAGAAAAATTTAATATTTAGGACTCTGATAAGTACAATTAAATCATGATTGTCATTATCATCAACATCAGAATAATAATAATAGTAGAATCAAAATATTTTACAATAAGATATTTAACTTTACAATCTTGTTTTAAAAATCTGGAAATCTTTGTACAATAAGTAGGTGTTTATGAAATTAATAAAAGGCAATAACAACTGTATATCATCTGAATGAAATAAAAATAAATTAAGAAAGACTCAATTATAATGAATGTTTGCGTGAAAAATTTGAATCTGTATGAGTGCATGGTTTAACTTTAAATTCAACAAGTTCACAACCACGTATAAGATTTCGAATTTCTTCTACATCGAGATTATCGCATGACAGACCTTGAACTTCTAAAATTCTATCACCAACATGAAATACATCCCAAAGTTTAGCTGCACATCGAACACTTCCCAACCGAGTCACATAAATACCTGAAGGACAAAAGATACAATAATAGAGAAATTTTATATCTAAGTTTATTAGTTAAATAAATACAAAGTAAACCGCGTCCTCTGGATTTACATATCAATAAAAAAATATAAAAGCTGCAAACTACATTAATTTGCATTAAATTGATACCAATACAACAGTAATCAATGACAAAAGAATAAGTGAAATATATCAAAGTTTACCTTTAGAGTCACGAGCAATAAAAAACCCGAACTGCCCATTTATTGATGAACGTCTCAACGAGATCTGAATAGAACCATCAGGATTTTTACGTACAACTTTACAAGTAAGTTTGTAGGGTGTAGCTTCAGAGTTTTGTTGTATATTTAGATTCCATGACTGGTCATTATGTTTTTCTGGATTCCTTGAAATGGAAGTATAATTGCAGTTATGGGACTCTCTGGTGTCAGATGGCGTAGAAGAACTTTTGTTTATTCTGTCAGCGCTGATTGCTCTCCTTAGATGGCTAAACTTTCGTTTTAAATTTTGAAGTACTTGGGCAGTAGCAGAATTACGAAGACCCAATCTGTAATTAAACAAGCAAAAAATAATGTCTGCCATAAATCTGAATTGAGATAAAAATAAATAAACTGAATTATGAACATTTTATAATGCTTTGTTTACATTCAGTGCGTGTTACTAGGCTGTTTGACCTGAATATGGATGATTTCATAATCACAAGCATTTGAAACGAAACAAACAATGAAGGTTAGTTGACAAAAATATGTGCAATAGCAACAAATCAGGTGAACCAACATATGTGATGAAGAACAGTCTGTCTTAAGAATTCAACTTTGATTTTGTTAAAATCAGTATGTATTTGATCTTTAGTAAAATAGTTTACTGCGTTATACGTGCTAACAAAAATGTGTGTTCGAACGCTTCAAATTTGTAATACATAAAAAGTTATAACGTACCCTGTATGTCGTCTACCTCTAGGTTTTTCACACGCAGAAGTCTCTGAAAATAAAAAAACAACAATTATATACATCTTGTCACATATAGTTGACAAACAATCGTTAGGAGTTATATAATACTTACGATTAATGCGAGTAGGTGAAGTTTGTGTTTCAACAGTTCTTGATGAAGTGAATCTTGTGTCGGATTTCATTTCCCAAGGAAGTGAAACAGATGAGTAACGAATCGGAAGCTGAAGGGGAAAGCCGCTTGGCATGGGTACAGGGCAAATAGGAGCCAAATGCCTTTTAGAGCTGTGTACATTATCTTCATTGATGTCCACATCAAGTGCATTCTTCCTCAGATTGTACCGGGGATGAGCTTTGACCTCAGAACCCATTGTCAAGCAAATTGTATCCTTGTCATTTCTCAGCTTCACAGACGTTTGACTTTCAGTATAACGTGACTGCTTAGGTTTTGTATCAATTTCACCAGAGCTTGGTTGACGTTTGCGTGTTGCACCGCCAAACGAAAAAATTGAATCCACAGACGATAAACTCGTATTCAAATTATATGAGGTTGTAAGCGGAGAATCAACAGTAATATCAGATGCTTTCATATTATCAGTTTCCACGTATGATAGTCTGTTAATACTGTTGCGAATAGGGAAATGATGACGTATATCAGATTTCTGATTATTGAAATTTTCTTTATCATAACGGCATGATGATGATCGTAAAGGCATTGGTAATATTTCAGTAAAATTTTCAAATGTTTTAGTTTGAGACAGTCTTGAAGTGACAACACGACACACTGGTGTAGACGACGTATGATCCACTGGCAAACTGAAATAGAATTCAAAGCTAATCGGTGAGAACATATTTATACTATTTTTATAACATAGGAATAGTTAAAAGCCTATGAAAATATAGTTAAAGGAAACACCCCTCACTCATTTCGCCCAATCATTGGGATAGGGGATCATGAATATTATGATTAATATCCTTAATTTTGGATAACGTTACGTAATCACATAAAAATACCCATACGTAACACCAATCGGTTCCTCCTATCACTTAACTATGCATATAGGTCATGGCTATTATAATTATTCCCAAGACATTTTCTCATCCATGTTTCCAAAAAATCTAAGAAAGATGCTTAGTGAAGTTGTTTTAATTTGTCAAAACTTGAATGGACGATTCTCACTTTAGACAAATAGACTGACAAGAAAAAAGCCGATCATCATGGATATCACACGGTCATTTGAAGGGTGTAACGGAGCTTATGTGTGTTGATTAATGATAAATGACTAAAACCAGTCAGACTAAGTGTGGATACGGTGTCAATCCGCTTAGCCTATTCGCATATAGTAAGATCAGAAAGAACTTTGAATTTTTAATATAGTAGATTAAGAACATGGAACGAACTACAGTACGCAGTTATGAGAGCCAAACACCGAAGTGTTTCCATCGTTTGAATTCCAATACATTATTCAGCAATTCGTTTAAAAGGTACGTAACACAGTTTTTTTAATTAATTCACTACGATACTGAATAATTTTCTACTTGTGAGGGAATCAACGTAAGATTTAATTAACCCAGTTCCTTAGTCTCATTGTTATACGAAAAAATTTTAATGTTTCTATGTACCGTAATTTCTTCAATCATTCAATGTTATTTTGACTAATATCTTTACTTATTTCCACTTCATGAAAGCAAACTCTTGAATGTTCACATCTTCACAAAATTATAGTAACCCATTGTGTTGATGCCACATGTATTCGATGTTTGACAACGCTTTAACCAGTAACACTTAATATGAAGCGTACCCACCAATTGAAATCAAAGGACAGAAGCGAGGAGGTTGAAAGATAAATTTGATAGGCTATCAATATATCGAGGATCATTGGATCTAATCTGGCTAGCGATTGCAGATGTTGAGCACGGCGTTCTCACTCGTAATCTGTTGCGGATACATGACCGAGTGTCTTCAGCTAGATAAGTCCATTAAAACTAATGTGGTCAGCATCCAATAACAAAGACATACTGAGCTATTTATTTACCGCTACGTTGTCATTGACGTAATCATTCACTTAAGTTGCACAACCGTATTTATAGTTGTATGAAAAATATTTATCTATTAAATAATAATAATATGATTGCATCATAAAAGGATTGGAAATATTGGAAACATTTCCAATTATTTTATTGAACGAAAACAAATGTTCACTTTTAAGATGTGATTCAACTTTTGTTGAATTGCTTGTTTTGTAGAATGTTCACAGCGATTGTCAAACATGTCACCTAATTTCCTTAATTTAAATAAACACTCCCTCTACAATACCTTAACATTATCTATTTCAGTGTACAACCTACTCATGGGTAACTTTCTTGATGGATGTACTCTACTAAGTTAACGTTGAATATGTTAAAACAATAACAATTATATAACGGAACATCTGAAAAAAATACTGTTTAGCTTACCGTGGCTTATCTTCACAATCTGTACTGGTTATAAATGTCCGTTTTATTGGTGAAGTCGAAGTAATATTGTTAACATTTGGTAAAACGATAGAAATTGCTCGTAAGGGTCCACGGTTATTTTGTTTTTTATTTCCTTGCATTATTCCAATAAAAGTTTTTACTAAGTGAAATTAATTTAGTATGTATTCCAGTTGATGAAATTATTGAATTCAGATTTTCTTTCCTGATTCTTCGCTTATAAATTATTGTCTGTACCCACCTACCAGGTGTTTAAAAAAATTGACCAATAGGAATCGAGTTAAGAGGCACAAGTTTCTTTCCTGAAATTGTATTGGCTGACACGCGTTTTAGCTTTGATTGTACTAAACTAATTTTTAATTATGTTACTAACGTGTGGATGAGTTTATTAATACCATAGTTTTCACATGTGAAAAAATTTCGTTATTTTACCTAAAATCACACTTAATCGGGATTCTCTATAATCACCATTTTTTAAAATTAACATAATCTAAGGAACTAGATCATAACAATATATCAATGGAATAAAGAATTGACCTATTTAGATTTCAAAAGCTAAAAATGTAAGATTTAATATTATTTATAGAAGAGGGTTGGTGGATATTTCATTAATTTAATAGTTGTTATCATGGGTCAATTGAAGATAGACTACCATGTAAAGCTGGAAGAATTGGACGGCAATTTCATCCTAGTATGGGACTCTTCAGCAAAGAGCATCCACGAACCCGCTTCGTGAGATTCGAACCCAGGACCTACAATAATACCAAACGGCCGTCCGGTACTTCCAGGTATTCCATGAAGGTCTAGCTTCAATTGACTCATTATCTCAATTATTAAAATTAATATATTTTCTGGATTATATTTCTAATTTAGTAGATGCTGTTTTGAATTATTTAATAAGCGAACAAATAATTGATTACCAAATCAATAACCAAAAGTAGTTAAATCGCCAATGGAATTAATTCCATGTCATATAGGCTCCCGCTAATGCCCCATAAATACTTAGCATCAGGAAAATTGCGCATTCACATCGAACTAAATAAACTAGTCACTAAAACGTTAATAGATTGTTAGAATTCGAAAAGGCAGATCACATTTAGTGATTTTACGTTATCAGTTGATTTTAAAAGTCAATGAGGATTTCAAGAATATTTTTAACAAGTTTTTGTTTCAAAGCTTTGCTTAAATTTGTGCTTCTATTTATATTTAATACGAAGACTTCTTGTGCATGAATACAAATGAATCAAGTACAGCGAGAGAGAACGAACGATACATACTGTAATAATAAAAAATTAAACTAATTTTCCGAGAAATGTCAAAATTAAACAATCTCCGAGATACATTTTTATTAATTGAAGTTGCGAGCTACTTGAAGTGAACATAAGTAGTAGCATAAAAGTATTTAACGAAGAACAAAAAATCTAGTAGAAAAGGAAATTGCTTCATGGTTAAATCTGTGAGATCATTTATAACCTAATAAATCAGTCAATGTTTATAATGGTTCCTTATGAAGATTAAGAATGTCATTAGAAAATGTAAAAATTTAATCATGATGACTATAAAATTATACATTAAAAATACATCTATTTGAATAAATATGTGTAAGTACAACAAAACAAAAATTGATACGGTAAAAAACTATATATAACCAAGATCATTTTGTGTGCTTTTTTAATATAGACAAATTCATATACATCATTATCATAGATCAAATTAATTCACTGGGTGAAAGCACATTTTTTTAGTTAATGCATGGTCAAACAAAGAACTATCCTACACAAAAACCTAATCTGATACCTAACTCCCACTGATTCAAACTACTGATCCTAACAAGAAACAGTCCGCTACACTCCAATACTTTTCCAATCCACATATGACTAATAACGTATACAAATACTAACACGTGAATACATTGATGAATCAGATCAGACGCGTGCATATTGTGCATACAACACTAATTGAATATTCCAATTCCATTTGTTAAGTACTATTGTATACTTTATCAACTTGAACATCAAGTTATGTTTATTTCAGGTCAAAAATTTACATTTTCCTCTATAGACAGAATATTGTGTGTGCAGTCCCCACACCCACCCACGCACACATACACACTGATTTGTTTATTAGAATGAGAGGGAGGGTGGAAAGCACAATTACGGTTTAACATAAAGTTGATTTACACAAGACAAATTCTGGATCAAGCATCAGTCCACATCATATAAACAAATGAATAGAACAAATAGAAGAATAACATAAACAATTTTAGATCAGACTGTTTATGAGGGGATGGAAAAATCATACACAACAGATATTGCACTTGGTATTCTAGTTCAAATTTGCATTTGTCTATCAGATGCAATCGAACGAAAGCACAATTGTCTCACGAACATTATGTTAATAAGATGATATTCGGCTAGTCAATTACTTAAAACAACACACGTACGATGTTCGTTTCTAACACACAAATTCGTATAAAGAGAAGATAGGTTTCGAAGTTGTATGTTTATTCTGCAGACCAATGCAACAAAGTCAATCACCATAATCTGATTCCGGTATCGGAACCATGATATGCATTTTAACATGTCTAGTCACCCAATGGATATTGGCTGGTACAAGTTAACCCGACCGCCTTCATTATATTAGACAGTTTGTTTCTGACATGTATCATCACAAATGATCAAAGACAAAAGCAATCACACAATCAACGTGCTTTATGTCTCAGTGATTTCAACAATCACAGAAAATAGACATCCCACTATTCACGTTCAGTTGCCAATGTAGCTTTTCAAAACACGGCATTTTAACAGAGGACGTGAACAACTGATGTTGAGACCGAAACCTGAGAACCTGGAGAGGACTGAGTAGGTCTTTGGTGAAAACAATATTGTTTATTCCACAATCACAAAATCACACATTCCTTAATAATCTTGGTACCAAAATGTAAATAAGAAACATTCTAAAGTAGTTCCAAATTACACAAACGATTCTCTGGATATATCAACAGGAGGAGGATGATACTGTTCTCGAGGTCATATCTAACCAGATTATTTGATTCTCACATTTCACCTGTCAGAAATGTAGGATTTTTACTTATCTTCAACTAGTCCGAAATATGTCTCTTGATTCGTGAAAATGTGAATAAAAAATATCACAAATGATTACTGGTGAATCGATCATCTGATTCACATTGTTCCAGGTATAGTAACAATATTCAGCAATATTGTGAAATTCTCTGATAGTGTAATTTGACAATGTAAATTGTCTTGAAATTGACTAGAGTTATTGACTCATGAAGTGATTAGTGCAATGTTCAATGTCTATTCGATAAGTGGAATGAATTGTAGTGTAATATCATTCAAGTGATTGTCACACATCTATATAACATGTTAACAATAAGAACACTAGATGGAACTAAATGGCACTATGATGAAAAGGTGCACCATTTAAACAAGACATGTTTAGTCATTCAACCGTAAATGTGAACATGAAATGAAATCACTGTTAAGCAAATCGATATGTTCCATGATTTCTACGAAAGTAGTGATGCTTAAAGTTAGGTAGGAGAGACATTCAGCTCGTTGTAGGTAACGAGTGGTTAATTGTGATCTGGCGAATAATGCAATGCACACATGACACATGAAAATTTTATTACAAGTGTTCTCTTTCCAGTGTAACATTTGGACTAAGTGAAAATATCTTATTAATTGAGTGGTGAAAACACATATTTCCCATGAACCAGGATGACTGTAAATAGGAAATCAAACGAAAGCATTCTCCCTTTCGCGTCATTGTCGACTATTAAACTGAATGTGGATTCAATAAAAACGTTAGTTGATTAGTCAGAAATACATCCTATAAGACTAAGAGTTTGTTCTAACTAAACAATCATCAACTAGTCTATTTTTTGTGAAAACCGTTCTAACTTCTCAAACGCATTCCACTCATCGACTTGCCTAATTGTCTATTTCGTGTGCAGTCATCGTTTGATCACCATATTATTTCAGTGAAGTTGCTTGACTGGTGAGTTATCTATCATTTTCTAATCAGTAATAACTATACATCATATTTATGTGTCCTGCAACTTGATCAACACTCACCATAGACCATAGCATCGATTCTATTTGTCTCCAACAGTAGCGGTCTACTCGGCTTGTTTCATTTCACTTATTTCATTCTGAGATAATCTCTCAATTGAAAAGGAATTATTAATAATTACTAGATTAAATAACTTCGAAATGACTCACCTGTGCGATAATCAACTTGCAATAATTATACGTTCAGTTTTTCGATAATAATAACAATAATTTTTTCATCACTCTTATTATTCCCCATAGATAATTTAATTGATTTGAACGGGATGATAATTATACACTTGTGCAAACGATAAACAAGTGAACACTAATTAAATCAAATGTGATTGAGGTATAGTCACAAATTGATATTCATCTGAATATGGTAGTTTGTTTTGAGAGATGATTACGCAACAAAACGTTTGTTCGCAAGCATACACAGTCTGTAATGATTTGTTTGTAGAGTGAGAATGAGCAATTATAATATACTAATTCTATAGAATGATTTGAGTTTTTCAATATGGCATCGGACGGAAATCGTTGACCATTTTGATACTTAACAACACACCACAGAGATTCTTTGTTTAAGACAAGTTGAAATCGCTCTCACATTTGTAGACTTCTCTATCGAAAATTCAGAGATTAGATTTGCTTAATTCTTAATTGTTATTTGAGTGGGAAGTATTACAAAACTACTTGAATATTATGGCTTAATCGCATTTGATGTAAACTTTAGTTCTATGGTTTCGCTCCTTTTATTTCAGAATCATCAATTTCTGTCCTTTTTGAAATTCTCATCTTAAAAAAACAGGTGAAACACATTACCGATTTTGTCAGTTAAAATTATTTCCTTTCTGAATTTCAGTAATTCTAGTGTAAATATAATGGAATGTTGATTCCTTCATATTTCTCCTATTTAATTCTCTTTGCATAGAACAAGTCCCATAGACTATCAGATAAATCTATGATATTAAACCTTACCAGTAAAAATATATTTTGATAGAAACATGAAAGTTTATTGCTTTCACTGAACAGCAAATGCCTAGTATGTA